CAAGAACTTAGAAAAAGAATGTAAAGTAATGCCACAGAAAGTAGAAGGAAAGAGATTATAAAAACAGAGCAAAAATTAATGAAAGAGGAAAGTTATTATCCAGAACATTAAAAAAATTCTACAAATCAATAAGAAAAACACAAATAACCCAATATATCAATGGGCAAGAGACTTGGACAGGCTTTTTCAAGAGGGTATCCACATGGTGCATAAACATGAAATGATGCTCAATCTCATTAGTAATCACGGAAATGTAAATTATCTTTTCGAAGAGATATTACCACACACTTTCTAAAATGGCTAGTATTAAAGAGATTGACAATACCAAATGGTGACAAGATTGTGGAACAATAGAGCACACATAGATTATGGAGGTGTTATTTTGGAAAACAGTATGGCATTATCTATTAAAACTGAAGATAATCTGTGACTCAGTAATCTGTGACCTCGTAATTTTATTTCTAGGTATATACCCTGAAGAAATATATGCATGTGTGTACCAAAGGACATGACTGAGAATATTGTTAGCAGCACTTGTTAATTTACTGTGTATCTTTTAATGTCATTTTCATTTGTTTTTCATAGCCAGGCAGATTTAGCTAGTCCTGTGTCTAATGCTGTGCAGATTGTTGGCATGAGTGCTACCCTTCCTAATTTGGACCTTGTGGCGTCTTGGTTGAATGCTGAACTCTACCATACTGACTTTCGTCCTGTACCACTTTTGGAGTCAGTAAAAATTGGAAATTCCATATATGACTCTTCAATGAAGCTTGTGAGGGAATTTCAACCCATTCTACAAGTGAAGGTAAATCATATTTTTATATCACTACTATCAGTATTTTTGTGTTCGCATTTTCAAGCAACTTGTTAATTTTTGAATTATATAATTAGGGGTTACAAAGTAGTTCAATATACATTACATATTCATTAGTATTAATATTAAGCTCACTGGTTTCCTCTTGAATTGGTGATGGTGAGAGAGGAAACATAGTTGTACCTTTGATTTAGATGATCATTTCCTGGTGTGTGTGTGTGTGTGTGTGTGTATGTATATATATATTTTTTTCTTTTCATGAACATTTCTAATACTATACATTTCCTGATATATAACATAAACATTTTTTAAAAAACACTAAATACTGTTGTGGAAAATTAACCTTTTGTTAAATGGTGGGTATAATATTAATATATAGTAGAGTGGAAAGAACATCATTTTTGGAGTTTAACAGACCTACCTATGATACTTAATAGAGATACTTGATATGACTGATATTAGTTGAATTATAAAACCTCTCTGAACCTAGTATCTTCATCTATAAAATGGGATATAATATCTTTAGTACTGTAAGAATGAAATATGATTTTTTAAAAAATTATTTAGCAATCAAAAAGTGCTCCGTAAATAAGTACCCTTCCATACCCCTAAATACACTTTAAAAGTTAGTTGACAATATTTTATTTTCTAAGCCTGATTCTTTAATCCTAAGGCCAAAGAACTGCCTCGTGTACATCTATGGAGTGAGGCATCTTTTATTTTTGTGTGGAGTTGTGTCTCTGAGTACTGAGACAGCTAAGGGTCATTTTAGAGTTGGAAATAGGACTAAATTTATGTGTCTCAGCATCTTCATAGGTATGTATTTGTAGCCTCTGCATGCTTGGTATGGAATCTTATTCAGTTGCTTTGCTTTGTACCCCATATTTCACCTGGCTATGCCTTGGTTGCTTCAATAAATATATATGTAAACGTATTCATTTACTTTCCTGTTGATCTTTTTCTCCTATTGCCACGTCCATGCCTCTATCCTATTTAAACTGCTTTCACTTCTTACCTGGATTATTGAAATAACTTCCTAATTGTTCTTTCCGCTTCTAATCTTGTCCCCTTCAGTCTATGTTTAAATCAGGATCTAGTTACTTATTTAAAATGAACATCAGATGAAACTTGCAGTGGCTCTCTGTTTCATTTAGAACAAAAACTGATGTCTTCAGAGTAGCCTACAAGGCCTTACATGATCTGCACTCCCCACCCACTTAGTGCCTTGGCCCCACCTACTTCTTTACCTCTCACTTCCTTCATACTGGCCTCTCTGCTGTTTTTTCATATACTGACAGTCTCCCATCTCAGGTTCTCTTTGTCTGGAATCCTTTTTTCCCTTAGGCATCAGTGTGTTTTACTCTTTCACCTTTAGATTTTTACTCACATGTCAGTTTCTTAGACCTTCCCTGGTCACATTATCTAAATTACAGCATCCTCCCTCATGTGGTCTCTATTTATTTTCCCTGTTTAATTTTTCTCCTTAGCCCTTTTCAAAATTGAACATACCATGTGTTTTATTTATCTTGTTTTTGTTATTATGTATCTCTTCCTACTGGATAGAGATACTATGAGAGTAGAGCTTTTTTTTCCCCCTACTTTGTTTACTGCTCCAGCCCCACTGCCTAGAACAGTATCTGACACATAGTAAATATTTGTTAATGAGTGAATGGAAGGAGGAATTAATTAATCCAGTTACACACATTGACATATTTCCAGTATGGAGAACTTGCAGGGCTACCTACCACAGGGCATTCACATTTCTGTCAGAAATGTGGTACCTTTTCTTGAGATAATGCCTCCCCTTCTTCACATCTCAGCTAAATTATTTTCTCAGGGTAACCTTTCTTTTAGGTTTTTCTGTCAAATTTCTGTCAAATATGAGGCCTCAAAACATCATAAAACTCTCTTTTATAATACATCTTATGGTTGTATTTTACATTTATTTGTTTAGTATAGATGTTCCTTGACTTATGGTGTTATATCCCAGTAAACCCATTGTAAGTTGAAAATATTGTAAGTAAAAAAATGCATTTAATATACCTAACCAATCAAACATCAGTTTATTTAGCCTAGCCTACCTTAAATGTGCTCAGAACTCTTACATTAGCCTACAGTTGGGTAAAATCATCTAACATAAAGCCTATTTTATAATTTAATGTTGAATATCTCGTGTAATTTGTTGAATACTGAAAGTGAAGAACAGGATGGTTGTGTGAGTATTCAGTTTCTACTGAATACATATTGGTTTCACATCATTGTAAACTTGAAAAATCTTAGGTATAACCATTGAAAATCAGGGATCATCTGTACTTTAAGGAGTCTGACCCCTTTACTATTAGGACCTTGACTTTCTTTTGCTCACCATTGTAACCCATTGCCTGAGGGTTGAAGCTCAATAAATATTAGTTGAATGAATAGAAAATATTTCTTTCTCATCTTTCATTGTAGTGAGGTTTTTTCCTTCCTGTTTTGTTCTTTCTTTGTTTCATTACTGACTTTGTAACTGATTTTCATTATGCCTTTGAGTAGAAAAAGCTTCCCCATAAAGCAAAATGAATGATTTTAAATCAATGTGAAAATGTTTTGAAAGTACCACTAGAGTGATTGTTTCCCTTTCTTTTTTAGGGAGATGAGGACCATGTTGTTAGTTTATGTTATGAGACCATTCGTGATAACCATTCAGTATTACTTTTTTGTCCATCAAAGAAATGGTGTGAGAAGCTGGCAGATACCATCGCCCGAGAATTTTATAATCTACACCATCAAGCTGAGGGTGAGTTACAGATGGAAATGAAAGCCTCCATACTTAGTATATTGGCCTGAAAGTAATGTTAGTGATTATGTTACAAAATGTATCTCTCTTTCATCATTGCCACTGCCTGCCCACTAGGCACTCTTTTTATAAAACTATGAATCTAATCCTATCCTGCTCTTATTATAGACAATGTATACACACACGCACTCAGGCTAATCAGCTTCAGACTTTTAGAAGACTGGGTTTATACAGGTGTATACTGAGGTTCTTTGTCTGGGATCTATGGACTTTAAAAGTTTGATCTTTGGAACCCCTAAATTATATGTAAAACTCCACATATACACATTTTTCTGGGAAAAGTGGCCCTATCTTTCTTTATACTTCCAAAGGAATGTGTGACTCTAGAAAGAATTACATATACATATATGTCTATAAATTGACGTTTGAACAACACAGGTTTGCATTGTGTGGGTCCACTTATGTGTGGATTTTTTAAAATAAATATATTGGAAAATTGTTTGGAGATTTGTGACAATTTGAAAAGCTCACAGATGAACTACATAGCCTAGGAATATTAAAAAATTTTAAGAAAAGCTAGGTCAGTCCAATAGAGCTTAAAAAAAAGAAAAAGGTATGTCATGAGTGCATAAAATATATGTAGATAGTAGTCTATCATTTACTACCATAAAGTGTACACAAATATATTATAAAAAGTTAAAATTTATCAAAACTTATGTACCCAAACACAGACATGGCACCATTCTCAGTTGAGAGAAATGCAAACAAATGTAAATGAGACAGTATTAAAACTACATAAAATTAACTGTAATACATATTGTACTACTGTAATAATTTTATACCTACCTCCTGTTGCTGTTGCATAGTGTTATGAGTATCTGTTTAAAATGCTGTGTGATGCTAATGCTTATCATCTTCGCTTGAGCAGTTCATCTCTCTGGTAAATTGGTGTTGCAGTAAAAAGTGATCTCTTGTGGTTCTTGCATATTTTTCCTCATGTTTAGTGCAATGCTGTAAACTTGGAGTAACACCATGGGACCTATATGAATATGAAGTGCCACTGGCAATGCTAGAAGTGCTCCCAAGAAGCAGAGAAATTTATGACATTACAAGGAAGAGTTCAATTGCTTGGTGTGTGCTGTAGATTGAGGTCTGCAGCTGAGGTTGCCTGCCATTTCAAGATAAATGAATCCAGTGTAAGGACTATTATAAAAAAAAAAAGAAGGAAATTCATGAAGCTGTTGCTGCAGCTATGCTAGCAGGTGCAAAAACCTTGCACTTTTTGTGAAATTCCTTTTTAATTTGAAAGTGCAACTTTTATGTGGGTACAAGGTTGCTATATGAAAGGCATATAGCATATAAATCTAATATGATTTAATAAAAAGTGAAGTCATTATATGACAACTTAAAGGAAAAGGAAGGTGGAGGGTCTAAAGCTGGTGAATTTAATGCTACCAAATGATGGTTTGCTAATTTTAGAAAGAGGTTTAGTTTGAAAAATGTCAAGATAACAGGAGAAGCACTTTCTGCCAAGCAAGAAGCAGCAGATAAAATCCCAGATGCCATTAAGAAAATCATTGAGGAGAAAGGGTATCTTCCTGAAGAGGTTTTTCATGCAGATGAAAGTGCCCTATTCAGGAAAAAAAAAAATGCCATAAAGGACATTTATTAGTAAGGAAGAGAAACAAGCATCAGAATTTAAGGCAGGAAAAGATAGGCTAACTCTACTGTTTTATGCAAATACAGTAAGGTTTGTGTTTAGGACTGCCCTTATGTGTAAAGCTGCTTTTGGTTGTACAGCAGGAAGGCCTGGACAATGAATACTCTTTTTCTGGATTGGTTCCATTGATGTTTTGTCCTTGAGGTCAGGAAGTACCTTGCCAATAAGGGACTACCTTTTAAGGGACTACCTTTTGATATTAGACAATACCCTTGGCCACCCAGAACCCCATGAGTTCAACACTGAAGTCATCGAAGTGGTCTGCTTGCCCCCAACACATCTCTAATCCAGCCTCTAGATCAGAGGGTCATAAGGAACTTTAAGGCTCATTATACATGGTACTCTATAGAAAGAATTGTCAATGCTGTGGAAGAGAACCCCAATAGAACATCATGAAAGTCTGGGAGGATCACACCATTGAAGATGCCGCCATTGTTATAGAAAAACCCGTGAAAGCCATCAATCCCAGAACAATAAATTTGTGCTAGAGAAAATTGTCCACGTGTTGTGTATAACTTCACAGGATTTGAGGGAGAGCCAATCAAGGAAATTATCATAGAGATTGTGGGTGTGGCAAAAAAGGTGGAGATGATGAAGGGTTTTAAGTTACAGATTTTGGAGAATTCAAGAGCTAGTAGACACCACACCAGAGGAATTAACAGAAGATGACTTGATGGAGATGAGTGCTTCTAAGCCAGTGCCAGATGATGAGGAAGATGACATAATAGAAGCAGTGCCAGAAAAGAAATTGACGTTAGACAATCTGGCAGAAGGGTTTTGATTTCAGGACTGCCTTTGACTTTTACAACACGGACCCTTCTATGATATGGGCACTGAAACTAATGCAAATGGTAGAAGAATTATTATTGTATGGAAACATTTTTAGAGAAATGAAAAACAAAAAAGTCAGAAATTATGCGTTTCTGTAAAGTTACACTGAGTGTGCCTGCCTCTTCTGCCACCTCTTCTGCCTCTGCCACCTCTGAGAAAACAAGACCAACCTCTCCTCTTCCTCCTCCTACTCAGGCCTACTCCCATGAAAATAATGAGGATGAAGACCTTTATGATGATCCACTTCCACTTAATGAATAGTAAATATATTTTCTTTATGGTTTTCTTAATAACATTTTCATTTCTGTAGCCTACTATAAGAATATAGTGTATAATGTAACATACAAAATATGTATTAATCAACTGTTTATGCTACTTATAAGGCTCTGGTCAACAGTAGGCAATTAGTAGTTAAGTTTTGGGGGAGTTAAAAGTTATATGCAGACTGTGTGGGAATTGGTGCCCCTAATCCCTGCATTGCTCAAGGGTTGAAAAAAAAATATATGCGCACACACGCACACACACAGACACACATATAGTTATATGTGTGTGTATATATATATATATATATATATGTATCTTAAATCAGCTTTGTTGAGGTATAATTTGTATATAAGAAAATGTACTCATTTTTAGTGTATACTTTGATTAATTTTAACAAATGTATACGTCTGTTTAACCATATAATCAACATATAGAACATTTCTATCACTCCAAAATGTTCTTTGCTGTCCATCTCCTCCATCTCCAGCCTTCAGTAACCATTGACCTCCTTTTTGTCACTTTAGGTTACTTGTGCCTTTTCTAAGAATTTCAAGTAAATGAAGTCATACAGTATATGTGTGTGCTTTGTATCTGGCTTTTTTCACTCAGCATGGTGTTTTCGATGTTCATCTATGATGTTACCTTTGTCAATGTGTTCCTTTTTTATTGCCAAATAGTGATCCAGTATGTACTAATGGCTATACCATTAGTATACTTTTTTTACTGATTCTTGGATGAACACTGTTACCTCACCATTTTTACTAGCCTGTGGTCCTTTGGCTAGATAAATATAGGGAAGACAGAGACTAGTTCTAGTCACAGAATGTTGGGGTATTTTATTAATTCCCAGTGGTATCATGAGGGCAGGTGATGGATATCTCAAGTCTAGTTCAATAAGTAAACTTCGCCTAAAGTTTTATTGGCTAGGCTCTGGTCCAGCGGTGTGTTTTCTCTTCTACTTGCCCCTTAATTGATGCTTTCTGTGCCATGTTAACTTATATTCCTTGCATTGTACCATGTCAACTTATATTCTTTAATAACCAGAATCATTATTATTTTCTTTTCTTAAAGTTTTGCTATCTTGATTTGTAGCAGTGCTTCCCAAATGCTAGTGCTTGGGTTGGAATCTCGTGTATGATGACATTTTCACCAGAAAAATAAAGACAAAACAGCACATT